TAAATACCACCTCTGGCTGGCCCTGCCCCCATCTATTCTCTGCCTCCTGAGTCCCAGCTGATCGGGAGGGAATGGGGATTTTGCAGGATCCTTCCCCTGCCACACTCACCAAGCCTCACCATGCACACAGAACTGGTAGTAAAAATTTTTTTGTTGAATCCCACCACTGCATTTATTGTAAGTTATGTTCTGAACTCCACTTCCAAAATGCAAGGCTTTGACATACAAGAATGAATAAGCAAGAATTGATGGCTATTTCCGAGGACCAGACTGCATGGAGAATTATTACTACGGAATTGACTGTTAGCAGCCAACAGTAATATGTCAGATGGATAACAAGGTCCCGTAATTGCAGAGTTACTATTAGAAATAAAGCTGGTGAGACTGAAATGTGCAGTTCCCATGCTCAAGAGAATGCCATAACGTAGCTGTCTCCCACTCCATCCCACAGCCTTGGTCACTTAATTGTCCACTTGGAAATGTGCTCTGTGCGCTAAAGCGGCAAATCTTTTAGTGTGTGTTGCTCTATTCTTGCAATAAAGAAACCCATCTTGTCGTATATGGGAGTATTCTGGCAAGAAGCTTGTTTGTGAATATAGGTTAGGCATCTGGAGACCTGAGACATATTGCTGGGCCTAGCACGAAACCTGCCACTTATATCCACATCAAGTTTCCCCATGCAATGCCACCACCGAAGGATAGTCAGGCAAATATATATTGTCTCTGGACAAGAAGTGATCAGGACACCATTGTGAATTGAAGAATTATGGAATAACAGAGTTGGAAAGGATCTTGGAGGTCTTCTAGTTGAACCCTCTGCCCAAGCAGGAGATGCTATGCCAGTGATGGCGAACCTCAGTGCTGAAAAGGGTGTGTGTGTGCACACTCTCGTCTGGGACGCAACCTGGAAGAGGAGTTGCTCAGGGGGCATGTGCATGCTGGAAAATGAGCTTCCAGTTCCCGGCACATGCATGCGTGCCCCCCAGCTAGTCTTCCGTTTACTGGCGTGCATGCACAGGCGACAATCAGCTGGCCAGCACACATGCTCACACTGGAAAACAAAAGACTAGCTCTTCCAGTTTCTGCCACTGCCACACGCACAAAGGGCAGCTGATTATCGCGCACGAATGCACGCCAGGAACCCAGAAGAATGCTGGTGGAAAAACGGGATATAAATGAAACAAAAAAGGAATTGATTGCAAATGTGATAATGGCAGCTAGATTAGTGATGGCTAAATATTGGGGATGAAATTGGGATATTCAAAGAAATTAGTGGTATAATGAAATTTGGAATATGGCAACAAATGATAAAGAAACAACAGAAATTAAATTTTAAAAAGGGGTGATTGAAGCAAGGAATTATAATGAAATATGGGCTTTTTTAAATTAAATAAGTGTTGGTGGAAGGCGAAGAGAATGAACCTACTCAAGAATATATGTTGTTTTGGAGGGGATAAGGGCACAATTGGAATATATTGTATATCTAAGAAATATAGGGGGGGGGGAAAGGGTCTCTAGGGGGTGGGCATGCACTGTAATATGTGTTTTTCCCCTTTCTTGTCTTTCTTTTTTTGTATTCATATGTCTATGTACTATTTGTATTATTTGTGTTTTTTAAAAAATAAAAAAAAGTTTAAAAAAGGAACCTGGAAGAGGAACGGGCGACACCCCGCGTGCCAGGTGGCATGGCTTCTCGTGCGACTTCAAACATGTGTGCCATACGTTCGCCATCATGGTGCCATACTATTCTCAACAAATGACTGTCCAATCTCTTTTTGAAAACCTCCAGTGATGAAGCACCCACAACTTCTGGAGACAAGTCGTTCTACAGATTAATTGTTCTCACTGTCAGGAAATTTCTCCTTAGTTCTAGATTGGATCTCTCTTTGTTCAGCTTTCATCTGTCACTTCTTGTCTTGCTCTCAGGTGCTTTGGAGAATAAGTTTAAGTTTTTGACTACTAGGACAAGTGAGCTGCAGAAAAAAATATTTCTTTTGCTTTGTGCCTTTTGACTTCTAGTGACAACCTGGTTTGTCTCTCCAGTTTCCTTGGCAAGGATTCTCAGAAGTGGTTTGCCATTGCCCCTTTCCTAGGGCTGAGAGAGAGTGACTGGCCTAAAGTGACGCAGCTGTCTTGATGCCCAAGGCTGGACTAGAACACAAGAGTCTCCTAGCTTCTAGCCTGATCCTTCAACTATTAGACCAATTTGGCAAAAAATATAAATTGCCTCAAAGGTTCTTTTCTTTTGTTCCTTCCTTCCTTCCTTGCATTATAATACTTTTAAAATGGGCTACTGATAAAGTCAACAACATAGTTGGATTGAATTTTGCACCCAGCTCTGAAACAAGTTACAACTGTATTGCAGCTGTGTTAAGTGCAGGATGAAGAGAGACTGAGGCTATATAACTAAGTAGTTTTGAACCTGATATAAAAGTGTGTTTTTGAGTTAAAAAGTTGGTAATACAGAGCTCTAAGCATCAGTTATTCCTCCCACGTATCTCCTTAAAGCTACAGATGATGACAATCAAGAGCTATCAAGGTTTACAAATATGCTTTGGAAATGTTGATCCAGTTATGCACACAATAAATGTGCTTAAAAGGTAAAGGTTCCCCTTGCACATATGTGCTAGTCGTTCCCAACTCTAGGGGGCGGTGCTCATCTCTGTTTCAAAGCCGAAAAGCCAGCGCTGTCCGAAGACGTCTCCGTGGTCATGTGACCGGCATGACTAAACACCAAAGGCGCATGGAACGCTGTTACCTTCGCACCAAAGGTGGTTCAAATTTTTTCTACTTGCATTTTTACATGCTTTCAAACTGCTAGGTTGNGTGGGTGGGTGGGCCAGGTGCTCCCGGCTGACGGTGCATCAGCACAGGGAGCCTCCTTCCTCGCGGGACCCCATGCCCAACCCCAGAGCCAAGATGGCACCATGGAAATGCACACCGCGCGGCACCCGCATCTCTCCCGGATGGGCCAGTGGTCGGCGCCCATCGCCTCCTCCTCTCTCTGAGCTTCAGCCGGACGTTCGTTCCCAAACTGTCCTTCACCACACAGGTGTAAGAAAAAAAACATTTAAAGCTAAAAACTAAACCGCCTTTTAGATTTATTATTTTTGGAATGAAATAAGGCGAGAAAAACACAATCGCTGCCTGAACAACACCCGACCTTTGGCTCAGGGACCAAAAAAATCCCAGGTTGGAAACGGGCACGGCTTTGCAGATGGAAGAGGAACCGCAAAAGCTACTTTGGGCCTTGGGAGTGGGGGGAATGCCTAAGGAGGGTAGCACGGTTGGGGCAATTTAGTAAGGCAGGGGTCTCCAACCTTGGCAACTTGCGGACTTCAGCTGCCACAATTCTGGGAGTTGAAGTCCACGAGTCGTCAAGTTGCCAAGGTTGGAGACTCCTGCCGGAACATGGCATGGCCATGCCCTTCCCTGACCCAAGGAACGCAACCAGCGAAAAACAAAGCACAGGTGCCACTGAAGCCCACAGATCTCCACCCATATGTCCAAGGTTATCCGCTGATGCATCTCGCCAGCCTTGCAAGATTCCAGGAATAGCTCTCAAAACAAACATAGAGATTTACAACAGGTTCAAAAGAGTCTGGAGGTTTTTTTTGGTTTTTTTTTTAAAGCGCACCTTTCCAGTTTGTTCAACCCTTTGAACGACAGCTGTTGTTTTTTTTGATTAAGTTCCCAAAGCGGATAGCTATACGGAGACACTCAAAACGAGAGAAAATTAAAAAAAAAACATTGTGCATTACGCTGACAAGATGATCCTTTTTGTTTTTTTGTTCCTCCTCCAAGCCACGGTGGGAAGTATTGCTGACCTCTTCCTTCAAACCCTGCAGGATTTTTTTATTTTTATTTAAATCAGTATATCATTATTACACTGGTAAGAAATTCTGTATAACATCTGCATATATTGAGGATTTTTTTTCTAAAAAAAATCTGATATGATTTTAGAGTCCGCATGACCAGTCACGTGACCTGCTTAAGATGATTAGCACCTTTAAATACACATATATATTTTAATATATATAATAGATCTTTTTTTTTCTTTAAAAAAAACTTTTTAACATTGAGCTCACCCAGAAGTATGAACTGTAATGAGAAAGATGGCTGTGTGTTGTGTGTTTGTGTTGGTGTGTTTGTTTGTATGTTGGGTGGCAATGGTAGATATTCCAAATGCTTGCAGCAGAGAAATTTTGCTTTTAACTTGTGCTCAAGTTTCCCTTTCAAGGCAAAACAGGGAAAGTTGCAATTAGACAGCAACTGACAATACTTTTCACATAAAAAAACCCAACCCCTTTTTCCACCCTCCCGACAGGGAAAGACGTCCCAAGAACTTCAAACTGAAGCTCCAACGGGTTCTTTTCCTCATCCGTTGCCCTTTTTTTTCTTTCTTTTTTTTTCTTTTCCAGGATTTTTGCTTATTTGAAAATTAAGGCATCAAAACAGAAAGTTAATATTCAGACGTTCAAATACTGTGGATGGAAGGAAAGACTGACGAAATGGGCTTTTTCCTGGCTTCTCCATCTGGGACCCTAGTCAATTCTTTTCAACCATCCTTCAGAGCCTGTGATACGGCTTCCTATTGGTTCTAAGTCTATGTCTATGAAGATCCCTAAATGGGATGAAATGGATGAGGGGGCGGGAACGACTTCTGCCAAAATGGTATCTGCCTCCTCTAAGACGTTCTTCTAATGACCAAGAAGGATCTCTGAAACAGAGCTCTGAGATCTATTTCATTAAAGTTTGTATGAGTTTTGAAACGAGAACTCCATGAATTCTCCCTTTGTAGACTTCAAGGTTGGTTAGGACGAGCTACCTCTGCTATTTCCACCCCCCGATGGTTAACAATTCCGATTCCGGTAACTTGGTACAATGCCCTCTGTTTGCTATCCAAAAATATTTCTAGCGCTGCATTTGCAGCTTCATTAAAAAGAGGTAACTGCTCTTAGATTTTTAATTTAAAATTATTATCCTTTACGGTTTTTCTAAAAATCAGTGAGCTTTTCTTTTGCTCTCTCTTCTCTCTTTTTTGTTTCAGTGCACCTTACTTTGGTTTTCTTTTCATCAACAAAAGCACCAAAAATTGTGCCATAAAGAATGGCTAATTTGTACAGGGGCAAGCCTTGTAAGGTAGGAGACAAAAAATTGGATCCTGCTCTCCAAAGAACGTTTTTTTCACCTGCCTGGAAAGTTTAGAATTTGGAATAGGCATCTCCTCTTGTGCTTCTGCTGTCTTCCCTTCCTTTTTCCAAAACTTGTGGCCCCTAAGGCACTAATATCAAAATTTGCTGACTTCCTAATTCGGCCGTTTCTTCAAGCTGCTAGTCCTGATTAAACTCCACAAGAAACATCTGAGAAGTTGAAAAAAGAATCTGGGAATGACTCTGACTGATGCCCTTTATCAATTTACTGATGGAGGATAGAGCTTGGCAGATCACAGCATCCACCCGAAGGCAGATTTAGGAACTGGGAGTGGGGAGACACAGACTATTTATCTGCCCAATTTTTAGTTCCAGTGATTTGAAAGGATTCGAACCAGGACCTCAATCCAGGTCAGTAATAAAAGTCTTGCTATGATTATGTCTAAACCAGGGGTGTCCAACTTGGGTGGTTTTAAGACTTGTGGACTTCAACTCCCAGAATTCCCCAGCCACTCATACTATCTGGGGAATAACTGGGAGTTGCCAAGGTTGGACACCCCTGGTACAAACCAAAATCACCATCTGTTCCTCATCATAATTAATTCAGCTTATCACTGTTATTTATCTGGCCCAACCAGACCAGGAAGCAGATGTCTGTGTAGTCTCTTACAAGCTTTATCTTGGGGAACTGCTGAAGAACTCATCCTATTCAAGGCAATCTTTGCTTTGCTTCTGTCTTGGGATCCAATATTTTATGATTTTAAGAGCAGACTACTCTATTTCCTTCTTCTCTAGCCTGAGGCTTTTGCATTCTTTCCTTCCATTGACAGTTTCACAGAAAAAGGTGATTGATACAATTGAGTGATAAATGAAGTAGAACTTTAAAATGCTATTAAAAAAAAAAGACCTCGGGTTTTTTTATGTTGTCATAACAAAAAAAAAAGAAAAAAAGAAAACCCAGCCAGTCCACAGTGACTCATTTAAAAAAAAAAGTGTGTGAGGGAGGGAGAGAAGAGATCGAAGGGGATCTTTGTAACGATGCAGCGTTTCCACCCGTTGCCATGGTGAGCTTAACCTGCCGTGGAGAAGCATCAACATGGCAACGGAAATTATCATCATAAAATGGTACAGTAATAGAGATAGCTAGACCAAGAAGGAGGGGGTTCTCCTGGGAAGAGGTTTGCAGAAAAGTCCAGAGACTGGTCATACGGCTCGGTGTCAGGAATAATGGTTGTAGGGGGGGAGGGTGTGCCCGATGCCGTTTTGGAAGTGGTGATGCTGTCGGTGGGCAAGGTATTCTGTGTAGCTCACGGTCATCTTCTCACTACGATACCTAAAAGAAAAGTGGGGGGAAAAGGGGATAGAGAGAGAAAGGGGGGAAGGAGGTAAAGGGACAAAAAAGGGACAAGTTTAATCCTCTAAAGCCTTTGGTGGCGCAGTGGTTCGCATACAGTATTGCAGGCTAACTCTGCCCATTGTCAAGAGTTCAATCCTGACTAGTAGCTAAAGGTTAACTCAGCCTTCCATCTTTCCGAGGCTGGTGAAATGAGGACCCAGATTGTTGGGGGCAATATGCTGGCTCTGTAAACCGTCCAGAGAGGTCTGTAAAGCACTATGAGATAGTATGCAAATCTAAGTGCTATTGCTAAGCCTGGAAGAATAATTATTTTTCCACTATTCTGTTCAGATTTAAGACAAAACTTTGGCTTCCTGGGCCTCACTGATTGAAGAGGAATTGTTTTGGACTGCATAGGAAATATTTAATATTGTTAATGTATATACAAATCAACTGCTTTGAATTTTAAAATATTTTTATTATATCTTGTACGGCCGCATCACTAGCTTTCCTTAAAGCTTTGTGGATTAGGCATGCCTGGTTTAAGCATTAAAGGAAAACCAGAAGAACAAGAAAAATTCAACAGCATTAAGACTAGGAAGACTTGCTTGGTTAAGATATAACTTCCCTAAACTCATCCCCACCAGGTTTCAACTCTCATGGTTTCTTACTTACTTATTAAGAAAATTTATGGGGTTGCTAAACTCACTCATGGTGACCCTGGGCAGTTTACAAAAACCCAATACAAAACCTACCATATTTTTCGGAGTATAAGATGCACCTTTTTCCTCCAAAAAAGAGGGTGAAAATCTGGATGCGTCTTATACACTGAATACAGCATTATTGGCCTCCCAAACCCCGCCCCTTCACAAAAATGGATGTGCAGAGGGTTTGGGAGGCCTACAAAGTGCTCCTGGGGGCTGGGGAGGGCAAAAACAAGCGAAAAACAGACTGTTTTTTGCTCGTTTCTGCCCCACAAGCCCCCAGAAGCACTTTGCAGTCCTCTCAAACTCTCTGCATGCCCCATTTTTCACAAAAAAATTAAGCGTGGAGAGGGTTTGGGAGGTCTGCAGAATGCAAAAACTTTTTAAAAAAATTACCTCTTCAAAATCTTGGTGCATCTTATACTCCAGTGCGCCTTATACTCCAAAAATATGGTAATAATAACTCAATAAATGACTCTCAAGCTGAGATCAATAGATCCCAGGAATGACATCAGAGCTCTCCATCCAGAAGAGGGCAGGGATAGGGACAGCTAAGATCCTGCACACAACCTCAGCAAAACTCAGGATAGGACTTCTTACCTGGTCAGTTTTATTGTTTTCCTGAAATCGTTTGTGATTGAAGCCTTATAACCGCCTTTCCTCAATAAGGAATCTATGGTCTGAATATGGTCCCAGCCTGTGGAGAGTCATTGGAAGAGAAGACACAAAGAAAATCAGCTCTCCCAAGTTTTGGAAAAAGGTTGAACTGATTGCAAAGAATGCAAATTACCCAGAGATTTGTATTTCTAGGGGGAATTCCCGCAGGTAAGCTGGTTAAAGCTGAACAGTTCCCAAAAACAACACAAGACTAGGAATAATCCTAAATAAACAATGTTACCTCGTTATCAGTGTTGTGTTCAGTTATGAGATGCCATGTAATGCAAGGGCATTGCAAGCTGGCGCTCGCTCAGGATGATGGAACTTGGCGTTCAACATGTTCTACAGCACACTAAAGCTAAGTTTGGGGACCGAATTGTGTGCAGGAAATGGTGGAATAGAATCATTAAAGAAATGTCCATGGAGGTTCTCTGTCATCCAGGTCATGGTTATCCCAAAGGGGCTTTTTCAAGAGGCAACTGGACTTTCTGGTTTTTCTTTGAAGGCGTTTGGCTTCTCACCTAAGGAGCTTCTTCAGTTCTGACAACGGTGGGAGGGAATAGAAGGATTTATATTCCTTGCAGTCCTCTGGTCATTAGCAATTCCCTTGGAGAGTCATTGAGGCCATGTGGGGGTTTATCTGTGCCCCTAGGATCACCCGAATCAGAGTGTAAATTGAGCAGCCCTCTGTCAGCAGAGGGGGAGACACAGGATACCAGCTCTCTCCTGTTTACCACACAGTCCTTCCAGCAGTTCCAACGTTTCACACTCATTTGCACTTGGATTCAGGTGACTCAGAGGGCACAGATAAATCCCCAAGGGGCCTCAGGGGCTCTCAGACAAAAGTGCCAACGACCAGATGACTGCAGAAGTATATAAATCCTTCTATTCTCTCCCACCATTTGGTCGGAACTGAAGAAGCTTCAGGAGGAGCGAAACATCTTCAAAGAAAAATGAAGGAAGTCCAGTTGCCTCTTGAGAAAGCACCTCTGGGTCAGAGGCAGTTGGGTAAGAGGCCAAACCAAACCCTGAACTGCTTTCATAAAGGGCGACAGTGGCCCTTCTTTAAGAGAGCTTTCTGCACAGCTGGAGTTTTCTCTCTGTTATATATGGATGGATCATTTTGTCCACTGTCTCTCCACCATTGTTTCGTCCCATGCTGCCTTGTTAGTCGCTGCTGCCTATCTCTGGATCCCTTTAATCTAGGGAAGTGATCTCTGACACAAGGGATTTGCATTCTACAAGTGTGTAAGTGGCATTTAAAAAGAGTCATCCCTTACAGTCAAAGGGCCGCTCCGTCATCTGACATCAGGGCAAGGTCAAAAACTGCATTATAAGTTCCTAGGATATGTTTAAATTCTTCACCCAGATCAGATCATATGAGATAAAGCGCAACAATGACCTTGCTCCTTGGCAACCTCGGGTAAGTAGGTGGCTGTGCGTTTTGATCCTTTTTCATTGATGAATTCTATTCTAATGCCATGTACACCCACCTGAAAGAAACCGGCAGTTTGATTAGTATATTAAAAATAATAATAACAATAATGATAAGAAAATGAAACAAAGATGGTTAGAAATAGAAAACTCAAGAGTTTGCATGATTATTATTGGATTGGATGGTTTTGTTTTTCTCTCTCTTCCTTGTAGGTATTTCCCCCTCCCCCCTTTAAAAGCACTTCAGTTTAGCCTCCTTGAATGGGAAAACACGGGACCAAAATATTTCTCATTCAGGATGTTTTGGGGGAGGAATGGAACCATTTACAGTCTCTTATGGCAGGCGTCTCCAACCTTGGCAACTTTAAGCCTGGAAGACTTCAACTCCCAGAATTCTCCAGCCAGCAAAGGCTTAAAGTTGCCAAGGTTGGAGACGCCTGTCTTATGGCACCCGTGGCAGCTCAAATCTAAAGTCTCTGCTGCAAACGTTATCCGCTTCGCTTCCCCTGTCAAAAGTGATGACATTCAACATGTGACATATAGTAGGCTGAAGCCGCTGAATCAATGCTCAGGAGAAGCAGCTGGTCATAAGATTAGAGCATACTTTACAAACACAACAAGGTTAACTTTCTTTCAAGAGGCCAGGAGACCAGACATGTGGCTATGAAGCACGAAAGGAAGAGAAGATTTTCCTGAGTTTACTATAGAGGCATTGCTGAGAGTTTCAAATACAACTGGTACAAATGACTTTGGACCAATGGTGCGTTTCAGGTTTCCTTTTTGAAGGAAGGTCCGAGTTGTTTTTTATTTTTAATGAGATACTATTTTTTTCTTGGCCCTGGTGGTGATTCCAAGAAGTTAAATGTGCAGGTGGCTAGATAGATGGGACTAAAAATATGATAGATCCGTGATGGCGAACCTATGGCACGCATGGCATAGACGGCATGCAGAGCCCTCTCTGTGGGCACGCCAGCCGCCACACCAGCCCGGCTCTGGCAAAAGGCCTCGGAGGTCTTCTAGTCCAACCCGCTGTGAAATATCGATAAAAATCCCTCCCCAATCCTCTTCTGCAGCTACTTGGAGCTTATGTCCCAGAATTATGAGGCTTAAGAGTATTCAACACCATTTAAATGCCACATCTAGGTATAGTTCAAGATATAAAATATATCCACCATGTCACTAACAGAGTAGGAAAAAATCAATTGGCTTCTAAACTCTGGGACTCCTAGGTTAATAATGCATTTACTCAGAAGCGGTATTCAGCAGCTTCTGACCAGTTCTGGATAACTGATAGCGGAAACTTTGAGTAGTTTGGAGAAAAGGTAAATACCACCTCTGGCTGGCCCTGCCCCCATCTATTCTCTGCCTCCTGAGTCCCAGCTGATCGGGAGGGAATGGGGATTTTGCAGGATCCTTCCCCTGCCACACTCACCAAGCCTCACCATGCACACAGAACTGGTAGTAAAAATTTTTTTGTTGAATCCCACCACTGCATTTATTGTAAGTTATGTTCTGAACTCCACTTCCAAAATGCAAGGCTTTGACATACAAGAATGAATAAGCAAGAATTGATGGNTGGGTCTCGAACCTGGGCTGTCAAGCTCAGTGTCTTTAACCGTTGAGCCACTACACCCTCTAAATTTAGGGCAGCTTTTCTAAAATGGAATGCCCTCCAGTTAGATGCACCAACTTCCAGAATTCCCAAGCCAGCAAGGGCATTGTTGAAAATTCTGTGTGTTGAAGTTCATCCATCAGAAGAGAATCAAGTTAAGATAAGGTGGATGGATGGATGGATGGACAGAGAGACAGACATAGAGATAGATAGATAGATTAGATAGATAGACAGAGAGAGAGAGAGAGAGAGAGAGAGAGAGAGGGAGAGAGAGAGAGACAGACATAGACACAGATAGATAGATTAGATAGATAAGATAGGCAGACAAACGAACAGATATAGAGATAGATAGACAGGCAGACAGATATAGAGATAGATTAGACAGACAGACAGACAGACAGACAGAAATAGATATTAAGCTAAACATGTGTATTAATAGTAGAATTATATGGATTAAAGAACTGGAAAGAACATGAATAGCAGTGCTTTAAATGTATAAATGATTGCGATGGGTACTAAAACTGTATAAGGAGATGTTGAATAATAATGGAAGAATGAAGGATGAAATTTTGATTTAATTAAGGAAATATGAATAACAAAATAGGTGAAAAACACATCTCTCAATATTATAGCGATATGGGGGGGGAGTTCAAATAGGGATAGAAAAGTGTGAAATAATAGCAATTATATATTAATATGTTAAGATATACAAAAGGATAGGAAGGAGGTTTAGAAATGAGAGGTGATAATAAAAGGCATGTATAAATAAGACGAATAATGGAAATGAAATGTAACATTCAGAAGCAATAAGATTATGAGCATTGAACTGTATAATACTCAGATATTATACCATTCACGCATGGATATATATAAAGAATATACAAAACGATTGAAGAAGGAAAAAAAAAGAAGAGAGCCAAGTTAGAAAAAAAACTAAGCGAAAGCTTTTGATTTTCAGTTGAAAAATGCGCAAAATAATTTCCCCCTCACTCCCCAGCAACATCTTTTACTATTTTTCTAAGTCATGTTAAAAATAAACTATATTTGTCTGGGCCATTCTGATTGCTTTATGTGATTTGAAGGAAAGATGAGATTTAAAATGAGAATCATCTTTTTTTTCCCCTTTTAAACATTTTCAGGGAAAATGCTTTTCTCTATTTTCTTAGGAACCATCCCACACTGCATCTCCCTTGAGGAGATAAGCTGTGATTTTTTTCATCCTGTAATTTGCTCTACATATCTACAGGCTTCAGTTAAGAATGGTGGGTTAAGAAATAATACATTCAATACAGACCCCCACATAAATCGTGTTCAAATAAGCGTTTGCCCACAGCTGTCAAGTATGATTTGCTTTAGTCATATGTGCTTAAAAGGTCTGACACCACTAATAAATTCCAATGATTCTGTAAGCTTCCCAATAAAATGTAATTTTCTATACACTAACTCGTCAACACCTCCGAGCTCTCCAGCCAATTATCCACGCTGTTTGTGATGAGAGAATATGTTTGTGGTTCTTAAATGGAAAACACCAGGGAGCTCACCCGGAAGGACGAGAAGTGTACATTCAAGAGAATCCTTTTCGCAATGTTTTAACTTTGAGTGTGTGTCCCTTCCAGTCAATCTAGATACCAACAGAAGAGAATATTTAGAACACAGAACATAGAATAACCGAGTTGGAAGAGACCCAGGAGGTAATCTAATCCAACTCCCCTAGTAGATGAGGAGCTCTACTATTGCAGACATGACTGTCCAGTCTCTTCTTGAAAGTCTCCAATGATGGGGCACCCACAACTTCTGAAAGCAAGAAGCAAATTTCTCCTTGGTTCTAGGTTGCATCTCTCCTTGATTAGTTTCAATCCATTGGTTCTTGTCTTGCCTGTTGGTGCTTTGGAAAATAGTTTGACCCCCCTCTTCTTTGTGGCAGCCCCTCAAATATTGGAAGATTGCTGTCATGTCACCCCTAGTTCTCCTTTTCACTAGACAAGGCATACCCAATTCCTGCAACTATTCTTCATGTTTTAGCCTCTATTTGTAGCTCAGAGCTGAACTGTGGGGTCCTTAGTGCCTTCCTTGCAGACGTTTCATCACACAACTAATGTCTTCAAGGCATCATCATCATCATCGAGAATGTTACCTGGTTGGGTAATGAAATGTCTGTTAAAAAAAACACCCCACCAAGCTCAGAGAGCACCAAGGATCCTACAGACAATCTTGACTCCTGGCAACTGCCTGGCCACATTTTCTTCTTCCTTGAAATGAGAATGAAAACTGTGAGCCAAGGCCACACTGTTGACTTCATAGTTAAGACAGGACTAGATCTCCCAGTCTCCTGGTTTCTAGCCAATGGTTTTACTCACAATGCCCACCCGCCTCTCATTTTCAGACCCATTTTCAATATGGGTAGTTCTCGGCTTACGACCACAATTGGGACTGGAACTTCCATCCCTGAGTGAGCCAGTCATTAAGTGAGTCACACCCAATTTTATGACCTTTTCCCCCTTGGCCATTAAGTGAATCTGCCTTCCCTCTTTGACTTTGCTTGCTGGAAGCCAGCTGCAAATGACGATCCTGTGACCTTGGACATATTGTAAATAAATTCTGGCCACCCAGTGCCCAAATTTTAATCATGTGGCTGTGAGGACGCTGCAACAATTCTAAGTGTGAGGACCAGGTATTAAGTTCTTTTTTTTTCACTGCCCTTGTAACTTCAGATGGTAAATGAATGAATGGCCGTAGGTCGAGGACTACCTGTTTGTTATTTTAGGTCGGGAGGGACGGACCTTCCTAAAATTCACATGAATAGAAGCCGCCATTCCTTGTTTAGATTGTCATCCCATATGTTCAAGCAACAACCTAATCCATGTATATCAATGAAACCTCAATCATGCAGACCAAGGTGTTTAAAGGTTGAATCATGACAATCGGACCAAACGTTGCTAATCTTGAGATGTTTTGTTGCTCATCCTAGCAACTTCATCAGTTAGAGCAAAATTAATTAGGAAGAAAGTCAGAGAGTGGTTGGATCCATGTATGTGTTCGCCAGCTAAGCCAAACATGTCAAGTTATTAACGCAAGCAAGGAAGGAAAGAGTAATTCTCTTTGGCCTTTTCATACATGCACACATACATTTCATATGCTTGAGAAGAGAAAGAGCTTCAGAGCCTGTGACAAAAAGGGCTACTTTTTAATCCAGGAAGATGACAGAAGGGAAAAATAATTGACATTTTTGTACCCTCAGGAAAAGGAAAAAGGTTAGAGAGGTTAGAAAAGGGTCCATAATGGATGCCATTCCTTATGGAAATGTAGGTCAGTGTTTGGCTCTACAGAAAACAGTCCAGTTCTCTGAGACAAAGTCATCTGGAGAAAAATAGCAGCTGATTCAAAAATATATACCGTATTTTTCGGAGTATAAGACGTACCTTTTTCCCTCAAAAAAGAGCCTGAAAATCTGGGTGCGTCTTATACACTGAATACAGCATTTTTGCCTTCCGAAACCTTGTCCTCTTTGCAAAAATGTCTGTGTATAGGCTTTAGGAGGCTTCCAGAGTGCTCCTGGGGGTTCGGGAGGGCAAAAATGAGCAAAAAACAGGCCGTTTTTTTGCTCATTTTTACCCCCCAACCGCCAGGAGTATTCTATAAGCCTTCTAAAGGCTATGCATGCCCTTTTTTGGACAAAAAAATGGGCCTGTTTTCGCAAAAAACAGGCCATTTTTGGGAGGTCTGCAGACTGCAAACACTTTTTTTTTTAAAAAAATTGCCTCTTCAAAATCTTGGTGCGTCTTATATTCTAGTGTGTCTTATACTCCGAAAAATATGGTAGTTGCATTACCTGGAAAAATGACCTACTGAATGAAAGCAAATACTGTAGTAGCTATCAACTGTGGCTAATCAGACTGTGGGTGGTTTTCCAAGATTCCAGGTGTGTTTGGAGATGTAAGTTTCTCTGGTAACTCAACTCAATGCAATGGCCACCAAACAGTGCTTAGATACAGAGGCTGGGTTAAAATTACGTCTTCTATGGACCACTGCAACTTTCCCCCCTGCCATCTGCCATGAGCCTCCTCTATTTGCACCCTGACAAAGTTTGTGGGACAAGTATTGGGGAGGGGAACTTTTTGCTGGAGATGTGAATTTTGTGCCCCCCCCCCCGGTCCTTATAAAAAAAAAAGCCACAGGCAGCGTGAGCTGATGAGCAGAGCAAGTCACACATAGCCATGCTATGGAAGGATGAATGGACAAAATGGAAGGCCTTCATTTGCACTCTACGATCCCAGGTGACCCTCGGGGGCAAAGTGGCTAGAGAAACGTGCAAAGTATACTTAAACAACAAGTGAAAAAATGGCAGCAATTTGAAAAACCACGTGGAAGCTAATGGCAGCCAATTCACTCCTCCCCTCACTTCGAAATTCCTTCTCTTGGGAGAAAAGGCCACATGGAGCCAGCCGAGAGACACCCCCTCCCCCCCCCGAGCAGAAGACTGCTTGATATCCCCTCCTCCCCCCAGCAAGGTCAGGCCGACCAACCGTAGGAGCACGGTGGGCTCTGGAGAACTTTTGGAATTTGGAAAGCGTTTGGCATTCGTTAGCAAATTGCTGGATTAGCTCCCACAAGATCATCAATAGCATACCTACAGAAGTAAGGTCTCCTAACCAGGTGGATGGCCTTTCGGGATGATCTGGAAATGAGCAGTTATACCAGGTGGAAGAACCACATTCTCTCTTTAGGTCATATTCTAGCCATCTTGAAATGACTTTTTGCCATTCACATTGCATAACTGCAGTCCCCCTTAAAAGAAACACGGATGATATAAGCAGTCTCACTGTATGTAAGGGCCAAATACAGTGACGCATTAGTCTTTTTAAGGATCCAACATTTCAATAAAACCCTGCCCTCCTGCCTCCTTATCTATGGAGCCATGAAATAAAGGTAATGGGAAATATTTCTTTAAAAATACCTTTCTAGGTCAAACTGAAACCCCAAATTCCCACTTAGAAAACCCATGTCTTTGAAAATGATGTCTTCCCCCTGGGACAGTGAGAAGAAGAAGATGACTTATCTTGGTTCCTCTCTCAGCTCCCCAGCTTTAACTGCTAAAAAAAAATGGTCCCAGTAGAAGAGAATATTTGGAGCTCAGGGTTGAATTGGGGGGTCCTTGGTGCTCTCTGAGCCTGGTGGTTTTCTTGCAGATTTTTCCTTGCCCAACTATGTAATATCGGCGCCACACAATCATGCTCAAAGAGCATCAAAGGATCTCCCCCCAAAAATTGGTCTTCTAAATTCTGCATTGTTTTCTTGCCACCGTTGCGGTGTGAAGGAATGCAAAATTAAGCAAAGGTGGTATCTTAATTGGAACTGCTGGGTGAGGAGGAGTAGCTTCTCCGCAGTTGTTACCTAGCTTTTATTTCCAATCAACAAAATGCGAGGAAAAACGACATGATTATTCTCCCAACTGTGAACCTGCAAGATCTGGTTTTCCATTTTTTTTTTAAACCAACAAAACTACATACACCAAATGAAGTTGCTGTTGTGTTCCCAACCTCGATGTCCAAGTACCAGTCACTGCCCATTAGTATCCCTTTCTCCTTAGAAAGAATCCTTTTGTTTTGTTCCCACCCACCCCCATACTTAGGTTTCAAAATGGGAAATAAGCTTGTAGGGCAGAAAGGGGGAAGCTCAGAGATCATGTTTTCTGTGGGTGCTAAAGGAGAGCCCTTTGTTCTTTTGCATTTGGAAGTAACGTGCAGATTTACCCCAAGGTTCCCAGTAGGACAGTCAATTCAATCTTCTCCTCCCCTCTCTTTATTGAGACTATTTCATCCAGAGAAACATGTTCCCCAAAAAGCAAGTGCTCTAAACAAAACAAAACAAAACAACAAGTCTAGCCAACTATCCTTAAAATTTTTAACGATATAAAAAGGCTGCTACTCCTTTCTGGGTCTGTTACACAGCCATCTATAAATACCTATGGGCCTTTGCTGTCTGCAAGAGATCTTCAGCTGCTGAGTTATACATCATAGAGACAGTTGGCAATGGAATGGAGAAGTCCCAGATTTTACACACAAAGAGCTGGACTTAAATTTATACTCTCGTATTTAGTTAAGCCCTACATCCCAGGAGAGAATAGCTAGGGTGGATGGACCTGAAGCCACATTGTGAGTTTTTGGAAACCTCAGGCATGCATTTTTGCAAAGGCAACACTCTTCACAGCACATTGCCTTGTATCATTCACAATGCAACAACTATCAAATATTATGGGACATAGCTAACACCAAGAGGAGTTCCTTAGCGTTTTCTGTAACCAGACTGGGATTTAGAATAAATCTCTAAAGCTTTAGATGTATTCTGATTCAGAAATCAAGCAAATGGCAGTTCACGAGTGAGGAGTTATTCAGTCTGAGCAGCCAATTCAGAGTTGCATGCAAAATGCTATGAGGGTGATTATTTGCCAGCTCTGGAAAAAAAAATCCCATAGTACATTTTACTCCAGCAGTTTAAAAAGAGGAAAAAGGAGAGAGATCCTATTTCTGTTGTGGCACAGTCCAATGTTCCAGTCTCTGTCTTTCTTAAGCCAAGAAACAAACAAAAATCTAATACTTATAGTGTCCCAATGCTCCCATTCTCAACCTCAAGATGCTAAAATAGTGAGCTCTGGACTACCTAATCAACATGGTTGTGCGATCTGGGAACTGTGACAGATGTTGTTCCCCCCTCGTTGTGTAAGGCAGGCTAAGTTTTAGCCCTACACAGATTTCTAGAGGATACTGGATGGGACACAACCTTTTCTGCCAATTCCAGCAAATCATGAGTGACCCTGGTTGGAGGACACTTGGTATGAAGGACACTCGGGAAACTAGCTAAGTTCATGCCATTTGGAATGATTTGTGAAGGCTACACTTCTCTTGTCTTCTACAATTCTAACTACTCTTGCTCAACTGACCTTCTCGGAGACTGTCCTCACTTTTATGAATTTAAAAATGTGTGCAGATCCTATAGGCCCGTCTGTTCTGAAACCAGATTGGCATGGAAATGCTAAAGGTCCGCATATGTAAACCTCCATAGCTCTGCTCTAGAGCTTATGTGATGGAGATCCAGGCAGAATGTTGGAATTTGAGTGGCACGCTGGGATGGTCAAGTGCCCATTATTGTTGAAATTACTACGATGCCCCTTGCAAACTATTTGTTGGCAAGGGCAGTTTTGCGGAATTCCTCTTGCTCTGTAAATATTTTAAATTTGTAAAGCATCAAGTAAAGTTTTTTCTAATAATAAGTGCAGATGTGGGAGCTGCTGTGCTCCAAATAAAGTTGAAAATGGAAGGGATAAAAAAGATTGCTACATGATTCTTTTTGGTTTCATTCTATCTAAATTTATTTTAAGGCTTTATTTTCAGGGAAATGTTAAGTCTGTATTCAGGCTTGCACCATCTCTCATGTGGGGAGGGGATTATCCCATATTTCATTAAATAGCATATATGTGAGAAGGCTGGGCTAGAATCTTTATGTTTCCTCCTTTTTTAAAGCCTAAAGTTTTGTTTTTAATACATACAAATGTTCCATTTCATGTCCCCTCCTTCTGGACATCTAACATGATGAACCTGAATTCACCACTGAAAATTCATCTTTTTCATTGGGACAGTAACTTCAACAAATGAAGTAATAAATTAGGGGAGCCAACAGTAAAATCAAAATGTGAACACACATTTCACGGGATGAAGAGGGGTAAAATTCAGGGTGGGACACTCATGGTCTGGAGATCATTTTCACTGAATCAAGGAGAGCATATGAGTCCCCTCCTTGCTTTTTAACACTTTTGCAGTACAAAACAGGCCCCAATTGCAAACAAGTTCCAGACAAATTTCTAGGCTGTTCAATAATCAGAATGGAGAAATTTCACTGCATGAAATAGGCAAAGGTTAGAGGTTTCTTACCTCCCAATCCAAATAATCACAGACATCTTCAAAATTAGTAAGCAGAGACACTGAGCAGAAAAGTCGTGGCAGTTCGTCCCTCGTCATTGGGGGAAATCTGCTATCTTTAAGGGCACTGCAGAGAAAGAAAACAACACACACACAAATGAGAAAAAAACAGACACTGAAATCAGCAAAGGAGGCAATTGTTAGCAGATGATTTCTCATCAAAACTGGTCTTCTTCCAAGAACGATTATTATACCTGTTTTTCTGCCAAAGTTTTTTGAGCTGCATCTGTGGTCTTCCCTACTTACTAGTCAACCCATTTAATTCTCACGAGAACGTTGTGATGTGCACAGACTGACACGCAAGGGTTGATTTCAGGACAGCCTCGATGTTGTGGCTGAATGAGTCTAAATTTGGGTGTTACTGTCCTTCTCTGAAACTTCACCCATGCAAACATCAGACATCTTGCTGTTAAGACAGCTCATTACCAAACCTACCTTGAGGAAACGGGAAATCCATATTCACAAGCCAGTCAACCTATGAACAGACCAGTTACAGAGAAAGACATGCTGCTGGGCAAATCAATACCATACTCCATAGGTAAGAAGTAGAAAAACAATGAAAAAGAAGGTTATGCAGTAGCTTTCACTGCTGACTGAAACACAAGTCTAGGGTATTTGGAAACTTCTTGATGTAATCCAGTGGTTTTCAACCTGTGGACCATGGACCCCTGGGGGGCCATGATGTCATCACAAAAATGTTATGATTTAAATCTTGAGTTTTGGGGATCCGTGACCAAAAGGCATTTAAAAGAGATCCGTGGTGAAGGAATGATTAAGAACCACGGATGTAATCAATAGGATTACCTCAAGGATAGGTTAGTCATGCACAATGTAATAATTTAATGTAAGAATGAAACATTGTGCTCATTTCTAGATGTACACAAATATATATTTTGAAGTTCAGCAAGCTGCATATTTTTTTAAAAAAAACATATCTACAAAATTGCAGCAGGCAGCTAAAATTTAAACATCGTGTAGCTCTAACCCTTATAAGACAAATCCTAAAAAATGGTCAGTCAGTGAGGAGATTATGAACTTGAGATCATCCTCAAGTGAATCATATCCTGATTGGAAAAACGAATTTAGTAATGCCAAAGTTGCTTCCTTGTTTTTCCTTTGAAGATGTTTCATTTCTCATCCAAGAAGCTTCTTCAGCTCTGGCAGGACAATGGGGAATTGAACTATCCTATCAGAGCTGAAGAAGCTTCTTGGATGAGAAGCGAAACGCCTTCCAAAGGAAAAACAAGAAAGTCCAGTTGCCTCCTGAAAAAGCACCTTTGGGATAACCATGACCTAGATGACTTTACAGACTTTTAATTTAAGGTAAAAGGTTCCCCTGCACTTGCGTGCTAGTCATTTAGGTTCTAGAGGAGGTGCTCATCTCCATTTCTAATCTGAAGAGCCAGCGCTGTCCGAAGACATCTCCATGGTCACTTGGCCAGCATGACTCAACCTTTCCACCAAAGTGGTCCCTATTTTTTTACTTGCATTTTTTACTTGCTTTCTAACTGCTAGGTTGGCAGAAGCTGGGGCAAGTAACGGGAGCTCACCCCATTACACGGCACTAGGGATTCGAACCACTGAACTGCCAACCTTCTGATCGACAAGCTCTGCATCTTAGCCACTGAGCCCCGCTTTTAACTTAGTAATACACTAAAAACTGAATCCCAGAATTTTGATGACGTAAAAAGTAGAAACAACTGTTAACGCAACCAGTACAAGGTGGAAATGTTTAAGAAACAGGGAAACAACATTGTGAGAGTAAAGGAAACATAAGCAAAGACTAAGAAAATCTGCACATTCAGTTTATTCTTAGAATTTTCTTTTGAAAAGTGTGACACTGAATAGCCATTTGATGAATGTTTAATACTTCCTGAATATTCACAGAAAAATGGATATCCAAACATGGATTTACTACATGGTAGAAATTCAGAAGATGCTATACAAGAAACTTCAAATAATTTCTCACTTGCTGGTCAATTATGCAAGGATGGCTTAATACAGGGATGTCCAAAGTTGGCCACTTTAAGGCTCGTGGACTTCAACTCCCAGAGGAGTTGGGGGGGGGGGAGAGATATATACCATATCCTCTCTACAAGACAGTCCTTTCAGCTGTTCCAAGAAAGTTCCAAATCCATTTGCACTATTCAAGTGACTCTGAGGGCACAGATAAACCTCCAAGTGGCCTCAATGACTCTCAGAAAGAGTGCTAACGACCAGATGACTGCAAGGAATATAAATCCTTCCATCTTCCACCATTCAGACAGAACTGAGGAAGGTTCTTTGATGAGAAGCAAAACATCTTCAAGGAAAAAGAAAGTCCTTTTGAAAAAGAACCTTTGGGACAAGGATGGCTTAACTTCAGCAAGGCTGCAACACCTTTCAAGTCTACCTACCTATGTCCTGTGGCATGCAGTGTATTTTGGTTGATATTGGCCTAGAGCAAAATGATTGACAGAAGAGTCAATCTCTAAGATTTTTTTAAAAAAATCACAATCAAATTTTGACTTTTAATGTCTCACAGTGAACTCTGAATATCTGCTTCAGTTCTTATTCCTTCCTCAAACTTAAGAAAGTGTGAGATGAATAAATGTTTTCTGCACATCAATTCTCTCTCGCCACTGGAAGCAAATGAAGATTTCCAACTGAACCAATTCCTTGTTTTAAAATATAGGAGGCAAAATGTATAATGTGATGGAACTGTCTATGACAGAAGATCCAATGAAGTGAAAATTACATTAATCAGATTCAAAATGACTGGAGAGGCTTGTTTTTCAGTAATTTTTTTATCTTGGATTTCTATAGAACTCCATGCATATTAATAGCGGCTGAATGAATTTTTGTTCATTCTAATTTTCTTTCTCCTTTCATATGTACGGTGCAACATAGACCAAGAGTCAATTTGTGGCATAATTGTTTTTTTTTTAAATGTGAATAATTTTTACATCCTTACTCAAATTTTCAAAGTTCTACCAGAATTATCCACAGGAAAGAATATTTCCAAAATGTCCTTAGGAACCAAGTCTTGTTTCTTAGTGCTTTACAAACATTATTCTCTTTTTTCCTGCTCTTCTTTTATGTGTGACTACAAGGTAATATTTTTCAGATTGTGATGTCACCACATGAACCACTGAAATTCCTTCTAGCTACCGGTTACACACTGGCTTGCTAGTTTGCACGACTCTGCCAAAACAAAAGAGACACTGCACCCTACTTCTAAAAGAAGAGCAATTAAAGCAACGTTTTTAAAAGCGGTGATGCAAATATCCTTCCTTAAAATAAATGATTATTTGCCTGCTGGGAATCCCCAGTGAGTCAGTGCATAAAAGCACTCATGGTTTATGGAATGACAGGAAAAGGCCATGGGTACAAACAGAAATGGAAAGCTGGGGACGTTTTGCAGGCATTATTGCTGAAATTAAAAATTGTGGCCACTGCTGTGTCGCTGTGGTCGGCCTGCTGTCACGTGACTGTCATTTCCAATGCTCCTGCAGCTTCCTATAAAGTCAGACAATGGGGAAGCCTGCAGGATGTCAGAAGTTATTTTGCATACCTGTGGTCATTCTACTTCTTTCTTAAGGTGCGGAACTCAGCTGGCAATGGACTTTGACTGTACAAAGTTACTGAGAAAAGTGACTTGTGACAATTTTTAATGCTTAGGGCCATTGCAGCATCCCCATGGTCACATGATCAAAATTCAGACGCTTGGCAACTGACTCATATTTATGACCGTTGCAGTGTCCTGGAGTCACGTGCTCCCCTTTTGCAACCTTCTGACAAGCCAAAAACAAGCTTAACACTTAAAAAGATGTTACTAACTTAACAACTGCAGTGATTCACTTAATAACTGTGGCAAGAAAGATCGTAAGGTGGGACAAATTCATTTAACAAACGTCTTGCTTGGCAACAGAAATTTTGGGCTCAATTATAGTTGTAAGTCAAGGACTACCCATAGTGGAATAACATTTGATGGATGAGTGGAACAAATTCTTGGAATATTGTTTTGAAAAGAGAAAGTGGAGAGCGATAAGACTCTTGTGTACTCCTAAACTAAAGCCTCTTTTATTATCCTTTTGGGGGCTGGCAAAGACCACAGATCTCTTTCATTTCTGCTATAGCCTACTACAGATTTATGCTGGGTAGAGAAGAAGAGATTCCATATTTTTTTCTCCAGCCAAGATGTTTACATTTCTTTGTTGACTCTCATC